ATCCACAAAAAAAAAGTGAAACCTTGGGAAAAAAGCTACTAGCCAACTTCAACGCAAAGCTTGCTTCAAGACCGTACAGCAAAAGGTACTTATATAGCAACATTGGAGTGCTTCACCAGAGCAATACAAAACATGACACTGAACCACAAAAGGTTTAAAAAAAAAGTTCGATGATTAAATGTTTGCCAAGGAATCAAGCATTAAGGAGCGTCTTAAAGTGAGAAAACCGAGAAAAGTGACATAGACAGGCAGAGATATAGCTAAGGGTACACAATAGCTTTGGCCAACCCAGAGGGAGAAGTCAGTTAAAACAGAAGTAATACTGAAGCAGACCAAATTCAAATGCAGCAAGACCTGAACATATCCAGGTTTAGGCTGGCAAGTGGCAAGTACCATCTGCACCACATAACTGTCAAACATTTTCAATTTAAAAAAAAACCTCACCAATACCCCTGGACGTTTAGTAGTATTACCTTCACTGAATCTTCAACTAACAACATCCTGGAAGTTAACACTGACCAGAAACTGAACTGGACTTGCCATATAAATACTGTGGCTACAGAAGCTAGGAATCCTGCAGTAAGTTAATCACATCCTGTCTCCCAAAAGCCTATCTACAAGGTATAACTCAGATGTCTGATGGAAGACTCACCCTGCAGCTCCAACAATGTTCAAGAAGGTTACCACCATCCAGGCCAAAGGAGTTTTCACGTACCAGAGAAATTCACCAAGGCTCATTAGACAGGATCTTTGAAACCCACCACCAGCCAGAAAGTCAAGAGCAGCACATACATGGTACACCACCACCTCCAAGGTCTCTCCAAGCCAACCACCATTCTGACTTAGAAATGTCACTATTCTCTAAATGTTACTGTCAAAATCCTGGAATCTACACCAAATAAGCTGCAGTGGTGTAGGTGTCCACCACCTTCTCTCGAGCAGCTAGAGATGGGCAATGACTGCTGGGCCAACCAGTGACAACCCATTCCATGAATGAATATAAAAAACATTACTTGAGACAGCAGTGAAGTTGCGGGATAGCACGAGGATGAAAATAGATGGTCTAAGGATAGTGTGAATCCATGGTCAGAAGGTCATGTCAGAATCAAGTGACACCGAAGTTGTGAACAGACGAGCTTAATCTTGTACTGCTACCATGCAAAAGGATGGCATTGGAACTTCGGAAACGGAGTTTGGAGCAGGGCCCAAAAACAATAGTTTCAGATTTCCAAATATTTAATTGGAGAAAATTTCTGCCCAGCTATCAAATAAGCAATGTGATAATTTAGGAGTGGAGTAGAGATATGGTAGCAAGGTAGAGATGGGCATCATCAATGCAAAGCCTAGTGGTGTGCTTTCAAACAATGCTGTTGAGAAATAGGGTTATTGAAAAATCCTGAGGGAATACCAAATGTAACTGTGCAGTCAGGAAGGGAAACTACTGGAAATAATACTCTTGCTGTAATTAGATGGAGAAGAATGGAATTGGGTGAGTGCAGACCCACCCAGCTGAAAGACAGTGGGGAGTTGTTGAAGGAGGAAGTTGACAATATCCACGTCAAAGGTTGCAACAGGCTGAGAAGCATGAGGAGGGAGAGCTTACCTTTGTCAAAATCGTGGACAAGATCATTTATGACTTTGATGAAATCCATTTCTGTAATTTGATGGGGTGGAAATCCAATTTGAGTGATTCAAGCATGTAGTAATTTATACTAAAAACTCAATTTAATACAAAAGCAAAATACTACAGATGCTCTCAATCTGGACATTTTGCCCAAAGTTTAACTGAATTTAACTTGGATTGTACAGCATTTAACTTCCAGGGAATCACCAGTGCCAGTTAGCTTTACTAATACATATTAATCATGGAGCTTGTAGCATTTTATTCACAGTAGGATTCATTCAAATAATTTGGAAAGATAGGCAATAAATCACTAATTTTATTTCAAATTTGTGATAAATTTTCCTGATGAGATAGTGCATGCATGGAAAAACACGAAAAAAACGTTAGAGACAAGGAGAAAAAATATTCTGATTACTCATCTGGTGGTTTTGGTTTTAGTTTATAAAAATCAGAAAACTACAAGATATAGGAGAGAAGGAACAGTAAAGAACGTAGGGATTGGCAGACAATTTTATCTACTGCAATAGAAGAGAATTTTGATTTTGAAATCAAATAGCAGTTTGATTTCAAAACAGTTGTACATTGCAGAGCAAACAACTGTTTATTTTACTATCCAATTAAAACATGCAGCTACTTAGTTTAACATGCATTATGAAGGCTTAGTGTTTAATATTTTTTGTGGCCTGAGCTTTGAAGGATTGTGGCAAAACTGATTAATTTCAAGTTTTATTGATACCCATTTTTTCTTTTAAACGTGATCTTTCATTGGGACTTTATTTTGAAAGACCTACAAATATCACATGACTTCAGCTAATTACTTGGGCCTACTCCATAGAAATCGCTTTCCTGCAATTTATGGATGTCTTGTTGCAATATTGTTCTGGATGTCAGTTGAGAAAGGATTGCCCAGCTTATCTCTCTGCCTTCTGAAACATCCTTAAGTGTCCAGTGTGAAATTTGATTGTTCTCTTAAAAAGGTGATTTTGCAATGCTGTTCCCGAAAAAAAAAGCTGCATCTGCAAAGACTCGGTGGCATCTGCACCAGATGGATAATCATCTGAACAGTCAACTATTCACCTTTCAGTTTCTTCAAGAACTAAGCATTATTTGTGAAAAAGTGTTCCCCCTCCACCAAAGTGATTCTCTGTGGACTGAAATTGAGTTTCTTCCCTTTACTCTTTGCATGCATGTGTTGCAGATTATTTAGGAGGTGTAAAATTTACATTGTCATTTTACAAATTGTGTTGGCCAGTTTTGTAAGTTTGTTGAATAAATTTTGTTTTAAATAGGTCAATAATGTTGCACTTAAAGAAACTTAGTTGATGGATCTTTTTATTCCAGGTCAAATATTTTTGGCGAATTGTATTATTCTGCATAATAAATATGACTTTGATTAGGTACATGTCATACAGAAATTGAAAGATCTCAAAACCAAATCCAGTAACAACTTATTTTTGTACATAAGTTGTTCAACAGCCAGCTATGTTGGACTGATATCTACAAATTCTCCAAAGTAGCAACAACAACATTTTTTGAACCTCTTCCATCATTTAGGAACTCAAATCTCTAATACAGGATACCAAAGAGTTAGCAAAATTTTGACAGAATATACATATTCCAGTCACTACAAAGCTTTTCATTTGGCAACGTTGATATTTCTATCTTAACTTCTGTCCAATTCTAAAATAAGAGAGATGAAATTACAAATCTAGTTATTAAATGATAGCGAAATGGTTAGGCATCAGATGAATTCTACAAGCTGTTGGGGAAAAAAAGGTTATAAAGATCGAGTGGCAGACTGATTAGTCTGGGAGAAAGCATCCTTCCTCATAACACTAAGAAGTGATGTTGACTGGCAAGGGATATCAGATTCTGTTGCAAAACTGAAACTACATTATATCACAACATACTCAACAGGTCAAGAAGAACTTGCTGCTCAGCTCACTATCTAGTAAAAAAAAGTAAACACCAAAAACTGATGGACAAGCTGACCAGATATTTATACCTAGAAGATGCAAATACTTTTCCTCCACCCCACAATCTCCTCCCAACCTGAAAAGCCTTACAACTCCACTGCAAATGCACCTTTTCTGTCAAATTAAATGTTACAGAAGTCAACTTAAATTTTTTCAGGGAGAACACGTTTAAGACTCTAATAAATTACATATGTAATTCCAAGCATTGACCCCACCCTAATCAGCAAGAGCTGTAAGAACTTGTATTACTGCAGACAAATCAGAAAACATCTCATTACTGACACATCCAGAAAACATTAACAGGCCTCTCAATCCACATGGAGTTTTGAAATTACAACAGTTAAAGCATTACATTTAACGTGGAAGCATTCATGTTTAACTTGTTAGGAATGAAACCAAATCAAAATTATACAATACAAGATATTCAAGCTAAGTTCTACCGAACATCAATCAAGTTGAAAATAGCTGGAAAAAAAAGCAGCATATGCTGGATATACAAGCAGGTCAGCCAGCACCTACAAAAAAAAAAATGCCAAGTTCATGTTCCACAAATAGGCCTTCATCATGTGATCAATTAAAACTTGATAATCAATTTTTCTATTTGATGACTGATCTTCTGAGCATTAAGAGTTTGCAGCTTTCAGTAGACATCAATTTGTCTTCTAACTTTATTATTTATATTGTTTGTAAAATCTTTCTATTTAACTGACTTCAATATTTTCAGGCTTCTTAAAAAAAATTCTGGGAAAGGCTTGATGGATCAGCTACTCTTTTCCTGCCATTGACTTTGCACCAAAATATACTGCATTTCAAGCAATATAGATTTCACAATCAAATGGTTATTGTTCATTGTAAATGGACAATTCAAAACGTCAAAGGATACTTCAGCATCCAATACAACATTGTGCAAGACCTAACGGGAGGCGATGGCCTAATGGTATTATTGCTGGGCTGTTAATCAGACATCCAGACAACATTCTGGGGACCCGGGTTTGAATCCTGCCAGGGCAGATGGTGGAACTTGAATTCAATAAACATCCAAAATTAAGAATCTGACGATGACTGTGAATTGATTGTTGGAAAAAAAAACACCTATCTGGCTCACTAATGTCCTTTAAGGAAGGAACTGCCATTCTTACCTGATCTGGCCTACATGTGACTCCAGACCCAAAGCAGTGTGGTTGACTCTTAACTGCTCTCTGGGCAATTAGGAATGAGCAATAAATGCTGCCTAGCCTGCAACGCCCCTCATCCCATTAATGAATAAAGAACAATAAAATTAATAACTAGCTCCATTTTCTACAATGCTGCAAAACAACAGATTTGAGTCAAGGTGGAAGGATAGTAGAGATCAATTGTACCTGGCTGTATTTATGTATAAACACAGATTGATACCTAACCTGATTCAGTGTCAATGCTATCTGAAGAACTAGATTCACTACTGCTGCTGTCACTTTCAGAGTCTGAGGAACTGCTGCTGCTTTCACTTAATCTCGAACATTGGCCCATATCTATAGCTGGATTATTCTTCTGAGCTGTAAAAAAGAAAGTCAAAACACTTAATTTGAGGACAAAAAGAAAAGGCATGGTATTATAGTTTGAGCATACCAGTACATACAGTTTTTTTGTTTTTTTCCAGAGTTCAGATGCCCACTCACATCCTGTAATCTTTTTTCCAGCTCTTGCCTTTTCTCCAGTTGAATTTCTTCTTTAGATTTTCCTGAAGATTTTTTAGCTACACAATATGGTATCCAAAAATACATTAGACTCGCCATCATTCTAAATGAGAATATGCATACTGTAGAATTTCATACTTACGGAAAGTTTTTCTTTGCTTTTTTCTTAGACAAGTATTAACATGTCTTTCCAGGTCTCTCAGTGTAGAGGATTTTAAAGTTTCAAAGTCAATTTCTATTTCATCTGGATTAGAGTCCCTTAAGGACGGCTCTCGTGCCTGTATTATATGAACAATGCGCCCCAATTTGTCACCAGGAAGCTTGTTTATATTGAGACTTAATTGTCTCTTTTCATCATAAGACATTGGCTTAGCATCATCTTCTGATTCACACACTGGCATTTGCTGCTTAGTTCTCCTTGATCTCCTGCAGTACAAAATGCATTTATTAAACAGAGCTGGTCAATAAAAGTGGTATTACAAACATTTCTTGCCTATTCTATGGCAAGTCAAAGCTGCAATGCTTGGCCATGATGTTGGAATCAGATTTTGTAAATCGAGCACAATGAAATTATATGCTTCATAGCATCAGAATAATTTACATGTTTTGTCCACAGGCCATCATTAAGACAGCCATTAAAATATAATTCGTTTATGGAGTTTTTTGTAGAAATGTTTACAATGCTGAATGTTAGCTTGTAATTGACAGCAATACAATTTGTAAGCAATTGAGTGAATGGGTTACTTAAAAATTGCAGTAATAAAAGCCACGATTAAGTATTATAATTGAGATCATTTTATTTATTTGCATTGCTGAAACAATGACTGCCAACCTCCTTGTGAATATGCAAACTAGGAGCAGAAATAGGTCACTCAGCCCTCAAGCCTGCCGCCATTTAAGAAAATAATGGATAACCTGATAATTCCATATTCCTGTCTACCATAAATAACTATTCACCTCCTTGCTTATTAAGGATCTAATCCCTCTCTACCATAAAAACAAAAACTATGCTTTCACTGTTTTTTGAGTAAGAGTTCAAAAGACTCATGAACATCCAAAAAAAAACTTTGCCTCATTTGTCTTATATGAATGACCCTTTATTTTGGAAAAAAGTGATCTCTAGTTCTACATTTTCTCACAAAAGGAAACTTCCTTTCCAAACGCACAAGTCTTGCTTGTCCGATCTTTCCTCATAAGACAACCTGTCTACTCCAAGAATTAGTCTAGTAAAACATCTCTGAACTGCTTCCAAATTTATATCCTTCCTTAAATAAGGAAACCAATACCCTGCGCAGTACTCCAGATGAAGTTTCAATGTTTTTTATAACTGAAGCAGAACCTCCTTAATTTTGTATTCAACTCCCTTGCAATAAAAACATTCTATTAGATTGTCTTATTGTTTGCTATACCTGCATACTAACCTTTTGCAATTCATGCACTAGGAAACAGAAGACAACAAAAGACATAGTAATCAATTGCAGAAATTCTGCAGCTTGACTGGTCAAGAAGTTAGGTGAGTGACAAGCAGGACAAGGAGACAAAATGTACAAACATTGTGATGTATAAAGTAAAGAATCAATGGTTTTCTCCATCATAATCAAGAACAGTTCAACACGATAGGAAACATCATCGCAGTAGAACAAAAGAAACAGGAAGAAGATTAAATTATAAAGCTCCTTGAGCCAGCTCTGCCATTTATGATCAAAACTGACATGCTCTACATATATTTCAATTTCCTGATAGACCAAAATATTCATGTCTTAGCCTTTAATACAGTCAACCTTGAAGTACATACAACTTTAAAATTCTGAATCCAAAACTCTAACCTCTCAATCCCGAGTGAAGAAGTTTCAAATCATTTTATACTTTATCCCCAGACTTTATCCCATTATTCCAAATTCCTCAGTCAGAGGTGGTAATTTCTGTGTCCACCTTATCAAGCCACTTCAGAATTATGTATGCTTCAATGAGATCACATCTCATTCTTCTAAACTCTGACTATATGCTTAATTTATTCAGCCTATCAAAAACAAAACAAACAAAACAAACAAAAACAAAACCAAACAAAACCAAACAAAAACAAACTTCTCATCCCAGGTACCAATCCAGTAAAACTTACGACAAAACAATTACACATGGCAAAACATCCCTGCCTGCAGAAAATTACTTTCTTCCAACACCAACATGTAGGTGGAAAGAAAAGCACAATAAAACTGCTCATGATAGTTAAAGAAAAGCATTGTTTAAAAACCTCTAGAGACAATTTATTACCAACTTTAGTAGTACTTTATGGGCTCCCAAGATTCAATGTCATGTCAGGACTAAAAGTCGAACTACAACTCGTAACTACCAGACTTTACTGGTTGTAATAATACCATAAATTCAGCAACCATACAGTTCAATGGATAACCTCATGGTGAGAATGAACCTTGCAGGCTTCGGTAAGACTCATAGCAGAACAATGCAAATGATCCAGCAGACTGTGAAAGCTCAGCCATCAGGTATACTCAAGACAGAGATCAAGACAGACTTGCAAGTACTACCGACATCAGGGGATATAGGGCTAGTGCAGGTAAATGTCATGTAGGTAGACGATGAACCATGACCTTCAAAGGCAAAGCAAGCTCAATGGGCTGAATGGTATACTCATGCTTTACGTTCCAAACTAGGGCAAATCAGAACTCAGAGCACTTTCTTCATTATGCAAACTAGTGGTTTTGGATTTTACAATAAATCAAGTCATTAATAACAACTTCCCTGCACTTTTTGGTCTATTAAAGAAGGTTGTTTCAGCAAATCTATCAGTCAACCACCAACATCATGTATTTATTGCATGCTATTTAAACTAAAATAAATTCATCAGGTAAATCAATATAAAAGGTTTTTCTCCCCCCTCCAGTTATTTAGAGGCTTTATTGCCAGGTCATCGATCTGAAATATTGCTGTTTCTCTTTCTGTAGGTGCACCTCTGACTGCCAAGTTCAACATACTCCTTTATCAAATTTTCAGCATCATCAGTACTTGATGGCTGCAGAGTTAGATGCTCCAGCCAGAGCTCCTCTGCTCTGCACGGTTTTTCTCTTTTTTCTCCCCCCCCACCACCACCACCTCTCTTTTTCCCTCCTCCTTTGCATTTTTTTTTCCAATTTTCGACTTACCAGAGGGAATGGAGGTGGTGACACCTGACCAGAGGCCGGTGCATGGGGCGAGGGGTGGGGGGCACTGAACCCCAGGATGAGGCTGGTGCATGGGGGCAGCACGGGTGGCACAAGCCCAGGAGAAAGAAAAACTTACCTTGAAGCAGCTGAGAGCTGGTGCGGAGCAGCTTGGAGCAGAACGGGGACAGTTGTTGGACTGGAGTCTAGTGCAGACAGTCAGATCATGTGTGGAAGCCCCCTGTGCTGAGCTACTGCAATATAATGTTCATTTGTAATTTGTTTATCTGAGTGTAATGACTATCCTTTAACCCATATTTCTAACTTATACTATGAATCACTGTAAAGTAACTACTTTTTTATTCCTCTTTTTGTATCCAAGATTTGTACCTAGGTACTTTGTACCCAAGGTGGCACCATAACAGGCGACACTGTAAACTTTTCACTGTACTCCTGTATTTGAGCACGTGACAAAAGGATATTCTATTCTATTCTATTCTATTCTGCTTTGCTTTTTAAAAATTCCGTATAATAAGCTAACTGAAGTCCACCATCCAGAGTATATTCTGCACCCTCAGAGCTTCTAAGCAATGTTCAGAATCTTAACATGGATGATGATTTTTAAAACCTATCATTTGGCTATGGAACATTCTGGGATCTTCTGTGAAATGCAATGGTGTGATATGAATTCTTTTTCGAAGTTTACACTAACCTAAAGTATCCTGGGAAATGGAACAGAAGCCCATGCTTTGTTTTTTTAGGAAAATCAAACTGCAACAGCTGGTTTTAAAAACAAAATGTTGTTACTAGATTTCAAAGAGACCACTGACAAGCTAAAAATCAAACATTTCCTCTCTCAATCTGCAATCTAAGTACATCAGTGTCTTCAGGAATAGTAGAAATACTATATAGAAAAAATGGTGACAAGAATCCACTCGTACCTTCTTTCCTCGGAGCTTTTCTTGTATTTCTTTTTCTGCAATTGCTTGGATTTAGTTTTCTTCCTTTCACAGTTTTTCTTAAATTTCTTATCTTTCCTCCTCCTCTCCTTTTTGACTTTGTTCTTTTTCCTCAGCCTAGACAGTGGAGCTCGAGTTAATGCTTTGAGCTGATCATGCACTGCTTTCAACTGTTGGGGATAATATTGAGAGAAGTCAAAATCTCCATATATGTAGTTAAAATTGGCATACTAAGTTTGCTTATTTCAGAAATTAGTTATCACAGTAAAAATAATTTGGCTTGTCTGTCCTCTTCCCCATTCTCCTGAACATCACAATTACCCTACATTTTATCTGCAAAATAATCTACTGAACTCAGCACTGAATATATTTCAGGACTCAATATTCATTGCTCTGTTAGTGAGAATTCCAAGAACTGACAGTCCTAGAAACGAAATCCTCCTCACTTTTAAAAGGGAGCCTCCTGATTTTTAAATTCTGACCGATTCTGGATATCAATATCTCACTTGCTGTGAGCAGCCAAATGAAGATGCTGTTTGATTCAATCTGCCAGCTTTGGGACATAGTGAATATAATTACCATCACTCCAGCACGAAAGTTCATACAGTTTTAATGCATTCACGAGATGCAGGGCCACCACTTATTGTCCATCCTTAACTGTCCTTGAGAATGTGTGGAGCTGCCTTCTTGTACCACTACACAGCCCATTTGGTGCAGGTACATCCACAATTCTGTTAGGCAGCGAGTCCCACAATTTTGCCCTAGTGACAGAGGGAATGGCATATATTTCCAAGTCAGGTTGGTGATTGGTTTAAAGGGAAACTTCTAAGGGGTGGAGTCCTGGTGGACATGCTGACCTTGTCCTATTGGCTGAGGTTACAGGTGCTGCCTAATTAGCTTTGGTGAATTCTGCAGTAACCCCTGTATGAAGGAACATACTGTTACTGAGCATCAGTGGTGGTGGCAGAGAATATCATGCAGGTGGTGACAAGTGGGCTGCTTTGACCTAGATTATGTCCAGTTTCCATCTCATTCCTGACTGCGTTTTGTAGATCATGGACATAATTTGGACAGCCAGGAGGAGATTGACCCGCTGCAGAATTCTGAACTTCTGACCCGGTCTTACAGCCATAGTACTTTTTAGGTCATTTCAGTTCAGTTTCTGGACAATTGTAATCTCCAGAATGTTTATAGTGGGGCTTTCAGTGATGGTAACGAAAGACTCAGAGTCAGAGTAAAACAGCATAGAAACAGGCCTTTCAGCCCAAACTGGTGCATGCTGACCATGGTGCCCACTCAGCTAGTTGCAATTGCTCACATTTGGTCCATATCCCTCTAAATCCTTCCCATTCATGTACCTATCCAAATTTTTTTTTAGATGTTGCTATTGTACCTGCCTCAATCACTCTCTCTGGCAGCCCATTCTGTATACGTACCACTCTGTGTGAAGAAGTTGACCCTTAGCTCTTTCTTAAATCTTTCCCCTCCTACCTTAAACCTATGCCCTCTAGTTTTCAATTTCCCATCCCTGGGGAAAAAAGACTATATGCATTTATCCTATCTATGCTCCTGATGTTTTAAGACGTCTCAATAAGGTCACCCCTCATTCTCCTACATTCCAAGGAATAAAGTCCTATCCTGGCCAACCTTTCCCTTTAACTCAGGCGTACTAGTCCTGGCAACATCCTCGTAAATCTTCTTTGCACACTTTCCAGTTTAACCATGTCTTTCCTATAACAGGGTGGCCAAAACTATACAGAATACTCCAGGTGCGGCCTCACCAATGTCTAATACAACCGTAACAATGTTCCAACTCCTATACTCAATGCCTTGACCAATGAAGGCCAGAATGCTAAATGCCTTCGTCACCACCCTGTCTACTTGTGACACTGCTTTCAATGAACTTGTACTCCTAGGTCCCTCTGTTCCACAACACTCCTTAGACCTTATCATTTACTCTACAAGGCCTACCTTGGTTTGACTTTCCAAAGTGCCCCACCTCACACTTATCTATAATGAATTGCATTTGCCAATCCTCAGTCCAATTCCCCATCTGATCAAGATCCCTCTAATTTTTGATAATCTTCCTTGTTATCAACGATAACTCCTAATTTTGTAGCATCCATAAACTTAGTAATCATGCCTTGTACATTCATATCCAGATCATTTATGTAAATAACAAATAACAAAGGTCCCACTACCAACCCCTGTGGCACAGGCTTCCAGTCCAAGAAGAAACCTTCAACCATCAGCTTCTACTTCCTACCATCAAGTCAATTTTAAATCCAATTAGCTAGCTCTCCCTGGAGTCCATGCAACCTAACCTTTGTGACTAGCCTGCTGTACAGGACCTTGTGAAGATGTCTTACTAAAGTCCATGTCGACAATATCCACTGCTCTACCCTCATCTATCATCTTGGTTATCTCCTCAAAAAACTCAAGACTTGTCAGAATGACTTCCCGAGCACATATCCATGCTGACTACCCCTAATCAGACCTTGACTTTCGAAATTAATGGTTAATCCTGTCCTTCAGTATCCTCTCCAATAACTTGCCTACCACTGATGTCAGGCTCACTGGCCTGTACTTCCCTGCCTAAGTCTTTGCTACCTTTCTTAAACAATGGAATAACATTAGCCACTCTCCAGTCTTCCAAAACTTCACCAGTGGCTAAAGATGAAGCAAAAATCTCTACAAAGGCCTCTGCAATTTCTTCCCTAACTTCCCACAATATCAAAGGGTGGATTTGATCAGGCCCGGGGATTTATCCACCTTAATGTACTTTAAGGCTGCAAACACCTCCTCTCGAGTAATATGTATGCAGTCCAAAACATCTCCACTTGCTTTGCTTATTTCCTTAGCATCCATGATTCTCTCTTCAGTATACACCGAGGGGAAACATTCATTAAAAAACCTCCCCCATTTCCTGTGGCTCCACACAGACAGCCAAGCTGATCTTTAAGGAGACTTATTCTCTCCCTAGCCACCCTTTTCCTCTTAATATAGCTGTAGGATCTCTTGGGATTATCTGTAACGTTATTTGCCAGATGCATCTCATGCCATCTCTTTGCTCTTCTGATTTCCCTCTTAAGTACGCTCCTACACTTTTTATAGTCATTTAGGGATTCACTTGAGCCCGATAGCTTGACCCCAACATATGCCACCTTCTTTTTCCTGAAGAGAGCCTCAATATCCCTAGTCAGCCAGGGACCCCTAAACCTGCCATATTTTCCCTTCATACTAATAGGGACATACTGTCCCTGGACTCTTGATATCACACTTTTAAAAGCCTCCCATTTGCCAGTCATTCCTTTTCCATCAAACAGACTCATCCAATCGACTTTTGCTAGATCCTGCCTAATGGCCCCAAAACTGGCCCTGTTCGAGTTCAGTATCTTAACCTGTGGTCGTGTCCTATCTTTTTCCAGAATCTTGTTAAAACAAACAGAGTTATGGTCACTGGACCCAAAGTGCTCTCTGACTGACATTTCAGTCACTCCCGACCTCATTTCCTAAGAGGAGGTCCAGTGTTACACCCTCCCGAGTATGGCCCTTTACATATTGATTTAAGAAACTTCTTTGGACACATTTGACAAATTTCACTCCGTCAGGGCCTTTTATACTTTGGGTAACCCAGTCAACACAGGGGCAAGTAAAGTCTTCAACCAACCAATACTCCTATTATTTCGACAGGTATGTGCAATCTCTCTACACATTTGCTGCTCTCGTACCTGCTGGATATTTGGGGGTCTATAATACCATCACAACTGAGTGACCATCCCCTTCTCATTTCTAAGTACTAACCATGTGGCCTAACTTGATGACCCCTTAAGAATATCCCCTCTAAGCAGTGCTGTTATGTTCTCCCTTATTGAAAGGGCAACTCCCCGCTTCTCGCTTCCTTGTACTTCCGTCATGCCTTTAGCTTATGTATTTTGGAACAAGGCCAGTCCTGCCCTTCTCTCAGCCATGTTTCTGTTATGGCTATAATATCCCAGTCCGCAGAGCCAATCCATGCCCTGAGCTCATCTGCCTCACCAGTTAGGCCTCGTGCATTGAAATAAATGCATTTTAAACCAGAAATTTTTTCCCTCCCTTTACTGTGCCCTGGCTATCCGGATTAGTAAGCTTGCTTTTGATGGCTAATGTATTTTCCCCTGACTTCTTGAAGGCCCCTCTCTCAGAGTCCCACCCCACTGCCAAACTAGTTTAAACCCTCCTGGGTAATACTAGCATATCTCCCCGCAAGGATATGGACTCTCTCTGGTTCAAGTCCAACCCATCCTTCTTGCACAGGTCACCTCTACCCCAAAGGAGATCTCAATGATCCAAGAACTGAAAACCCTGTCCCCTACACCAGCTCCTCAGCCACGTATTCATCTGGCCTATCTTTCTATTTCAATCCTCACTGGAGCGTGGCACTGGGAGTAATCTGGAGATCACTACCCTTGAGGTCTTGCCTTTTCTACTTCTTACCTAACTCTCTATACTCATTTCGCAGGACCCCATCCCTTTGTCTACCTAAGTCACAAATGAGTGGTATAGGAATTTGTTTTTTTTTAAACATTCATTTGTGGGAAGTGGGTGTTGCTGGCTGAGCCAGCATTTATTGCTTGTCCTTTAACGCCCTTGACGTGGTGGTGGTGAGCGGACTTCTTGAATCACTGAAGTTCAGCTATTGTAGGTAGATTTCAATGCCAGTGTGGTACCAGGTACATAGGCCATATATCCCAAAGACTAACTAATCATATCAAACAGCATATTTTCAACTGTTCATACCAAGCAAGGTACTCATTGCACCCAAACAGCTGCCCTTGCGAAATTTGTAACCATGTCTAACATTAGGAGAGGTTCTGGAAAAAGAACATATATGGAATACAACAGCACAGCACAGGATTAGGCCCTCTAGACCACCATATCTGCACCAAACATTATGTCATTCTAAATTAATTCCATTTGCCTGCACATGGTCCTTCTATTCTCTGTCTGCTCATGAGTTGAAAAGTACATGCAACGTGCCTTAATGTCTACCGACCAGTGGCTCTGACTTCCTTAACCATGAAGTGCTTCAAGAGGCTGGTCATGGCCCACATCAACTCTAGCCTCCCAGCCTGCCTTGATCTCCTACAATTTACCTACTGACAAAACAGGTCCCATTTCCATACCCTTC